CATTCACCCATCTACCTACCCACTCACCCACCCACTCATTTACCCATCCACGTACCCACTAAGCTAAGCTACCCATCCACGTACCCACTCGGCTACTCACCCACTCAGCTACCCACTCATTCAGCTACCCACCCACTCATTCACCCATCCACCTACCCATTCACCCATCCACCTACCCATTCACCCTCTTACTCAATCACCCATCCACCTACCCACTTACCCACCCACTCATTCACCTATCCACCTAACCACTTACCCACCCACTCATTCACCCATCCACCTTGCCACTTACCCACCCACTCATTCACCCATCCACTTATTCACCCCTAGAATTCAGAATGAAGCACCTTGCTCACTCGCAGTCAGTCTTCTTATCACTCTTCTATCGCGACTACTTCTACGATTGACGTGGTTTGTTCCCGTCAACTTCACTCCGTTGATTCCTCCTCTACCCGTGTTGAGGACTTGGTCTGTTCCAGACAGATCAGAATAAGAATGTTTATTTATACCGCAGGAGGAATCTGATGGGCTATTAAGCTCTTTGTTCACGGATGTCCAGTAGGGGGCACGGGGTTTGAACGTTACAACAACACACAGCTACAAAAACACGATCGGAGTGTAAAGTATAAGAAAGGTAAACAAATCGCTGAAAGCAATAGTTATATGCAAATACAACTGAACTTTTTATCTTACCAGGTAAAGTCCACTTAGGTGTTAACTTGTTTTTCAGAAGCGACCAGGCTATCATAAATAATGGCAGCTCAACAAAGTTGCTTATCGTGTGGAAATTTATAGGAGCAGCCAAAATAATCCTACTGTGTCATCGCCACCGCCACCACCGCACTGTTAAACTACTACCACACTGCAGTTCACAACAACAACACAACAACAATCACCATTCGCCACTAAGTGGTGGTGACGTCACCACGATGCTTGTGCCAGGCCATGTGCACCTTGAGACCACGTGAAGTGTCGAACGTCCGCTGGCAGGAGGTCACGGGGCAGACCCAGGTGCCACAGGTCGACTGACTGAGATGACTGGCTGATGCACCACCTGTGCCAACTTGCTGTGCTTTATCCACCCGGCGCTCCGCTCGTTGTTGTGAGCGTCGCTCCTCCGCCCTCCGTTGTTGTTGGAGGGCGACTGCCTCCAACTGCCCTGTAGCGTCCTTCACGAGCCTCCTCCTCAGAGGCCGATCTTGACACTGCTGGTACCAGTCATCGGCAAGTCCACTCAGCTCCACGTCCTCCTGTACCACATCACTCCATCTCTTCTCTAGCCCATGCCGCGCCCGTTTAGCCCCCTCGATCCGGCCGAACAAAAGCTGTTTAGGCATGCGGTGGCTGGGTATGCGGGCTACATGACCCAGCCAATGCAGCCTTGCCTGCCGGAGGAGCTCACCGACGGGACTTTTTCCCAGATCTTTAACAGCAACAACAACACCCCACTCACCCACTCGGCTCACCCGCTCACTTCACCCACTCACTCGCCAACTGAGCACGTATATGCCCTTATACAAGCGCTCGCTCAGCAGCACCAGCTTTGACAGGGCGGGCGAGGACCTTGGCCACAGGGCGAGGAGTCGAACCCAGGTTGCTGTGGGTGCCGAGTGCCCGGCTGGGCTGACGCGTCCGGGGAGTTGATGTGATGCGACGGCGCTGTTGTAATTTTAGACGTGGTAATGATCAGGGCTGGCTGGCTGGCTGGCTGCTACCTCCGGCTATGGTTTCTGGGTCATACTCCTCACCAATATTAATCCCGGCTTCGTTAATAGCATTATGGGATTTTGAGATTTGGCAAGTGAACAAAAATAATAAAATGTTTGTGCCGCCAATGTTTCACACCCTCTCCCCCCCGTATCAATAACACGGGGGACGTTGCCACGGTGGTAGCGGTGGTGGTAGTGATGGTGACGACGACGGTGGTGGTGGTGACAGTGGTGTGATGGTGGTGGTGACAGTGGTGGTGGTAGTGGTGGCGGAGACGGTGGTGGTTACCAGTGCTGGTGAGTGGTGGTGGAGACTGTGACGGAGACGGTGACGGTGATGGTAATGACGGTGACGACGGTGGTGACAGTGACAGTGGTGTCAGTTGGCATAGGAGGGGGTACAGCTGGTGGTGTATCTGCCAGTCATCTCAGTCAGCAAACCCGTGGCACCTGCTGGGTCTGTGCTAAAGCCTCCTGTCAGCGAGCCTTCGACACTTCACGCGGCCTCAAAGTGCACCTGGCCTGGCACAGGCGTCGTGGCGACGTCACCGTCACTTAGTGGCGAATGGCAGGTATTGGTATTGGTGGTGACGGTGAAACGATGGGGGTGGGGGGGGGAGAGTTTCTTAGATCAGCCACAACCACTGCCACCACTACCGCCACAACCATCACCACCACCATCGCTGCCTCTGGTCCACCCAGCACTTAAGTTGTGCTTCAGTGAGGTTGTGATGGGCAGCTCGTGCGTGCTGGTGGGGTGAAGTGTGCAATCGGCCACTTGGCCGAGCTGTCGTTTGTGATGGTCGCCATGTCGCTTCCGAGAAAGAGTTGCAGAGTTCGGCGGTCCCGTACCTTCGAATGTTCTTGCTGTGGATTTCACATTTGATGACGATTGCTTGTGTTGCAATCGAAACGCGGAGATAATTTTATTGTTTTATTATTATTATTTTTATTATTTCCCTTCTATGTGACTTTACCGAAAGGACCAAGAATATGAATCCCTGCAGTCACGATAGCTTTAAATGGAAATAAGAAGTTTTAGGGTTCAGTTTTACGACGCACGCACACACCCAAGACCCAGGGGGCTTGTGGACACAGCTTCTCAGTGTTGCTGGGACCGTTTCCTTGACATGAACCCCATCAGAGAGAAACCCAGACCCAGGATTTGAACCCCAGAATCTTATCTGGTCTCTGAGAGAGCCATTATGAACCTTCTGAGAGCGATAGAGACGCCCCACACCCTGACCCCCAGGGCTTGAATCTGGGTTCTCAGTGGTGCTGGGTCTGTGTCCTTGACACGGACATTATGAGTCACGTGATCATCCACACCCGTGTTGTTTTGCGAGGCTGAGTCACGGTGACCGGATCGGGCTTCCTCGAGCAGTGGGGCTGGCAGTATAAAAGGTGGACTGTGTGTGTGTTGGCGTGTGTGTGAGTGCGTGAGTGTGCTCTCGCTCACACACACACAGCGTAGTGAGGGGAGCGGTGGTGTAGTGGTTAGCGCTACGCTGCGCTATGAACCCGGCCACCCGAGTTCGATTCCCGCTCACTGCCAACACTCACGATTATCTGCACGGAGTCCTGGGCCTCCCCTAGGTCGACTCGGCCTCAAATGAGTACTTGGTGCGGTGTGTAAACATCGCCACTAGGGAGACAAAGGCGGCCGGGCATCGTGCTGGCCAACCCCCTCCACCCCCTTGTGTACCGTTCTGGCCCTCACAGGTGCTGCTACTCGCTTAACAGCACTTGCCCCAACAGTCTGTCACAGGCTACACGGGGGGGGGGGGGGGGGGGCGGGATCTTTCTTTTTTTGCGCTCGCTCACCACTTATGGGCCTCCCCTAGGTCGACCCGGCCTCAAACGAGTTCCCGGCGTGATGCGTAAAACGTTGGCCGCGTCACGGCGGTGGCAGCTGCTCCCTCTGCTCCTGGCCGCAGTTTTCTGGGCTTGGCCACCTAAATGTGAAATTGCAGTTCTGTGCCGCCGCTGCCGTCTGTGGGGACGAGTCGGGGGTCGAGCTGTTTATTGACTCGCAGAAGCGGGCGGGCGGGCGGCAGAGGTCGCAAACGGGTTTTGATTCCTTACCCGTACCCGGCCGCACCAGGGTCGCAAATGGGTACCCGTACCTGTACCCGGCCGGGTACGGGTAGCCGTTCCCTACCCGTACCCGGCCGGGTACGGGTAGCCGTTCCCTACCCGTACCCTACCCGAAATGAGTGACAAACGGCTACTCACCAGTGACTCACGGCCTACCCGTACCCGGCCGCACCAGGGTGGCAAACGGCTACCCGTACCCGTACCCGGCAGAGGAGTGGTGATTAATGTGGTGGAATGATGTTGCTGATGATGATCCTGACGAGACTGATGATGACGACGATGTTGCTGATGATGATACTATTGATGCTGATGATTGGTTTCTTCATTGATCCTGACAACGATCTGATAGAGAACACCGCTGCTGACATTGATGCTGCTACTGATGATTCTGCTGCTGCTGCCGCTGCGGATGACGACGATGATTGAGGTTGATGCTGCTGCTCATGATGATGATGGCCCGTACCCGGCCGGGTACGGGTTGCCGGGTATCGGGCAGGGTACGGGTATCGGGTACCCGGTTGCGACCTCTGGCGGGCGGGCGGCTGAGCGAGGGCGCAGCTGTTGCAAGACGCCCGAGTTGATTCCCCGCTCACGGTCATCGTTGACGAGTTTCAGAAACCGGTCCCCGAGGTGGACTCTGCCTCGGATGACTTGCCTCTGGTGCGTCATGGTCACCGGGGAGACAAAGGCGGCCGGGAGTGGTGCTATTCGCCCACCACCCCCTTGTGCTGTTGGCTACGACTTGCTGACAGCGCTTGCCTCAACATTCTTGTTAAGGCTACACGGGGCGGTATCTTTGTCTTTTTAAATCCTTTATATTAAGTTCACTTGCTTGTTTGCTTGCGCGCTTACGACCGTGCAAATCTTTCGGTCGTTTTTTAACCCACTTCCCGTGATCCAATCGAGCTGACATTTTGCACACAGACTCGTTGTGCGTGACAATTAATTTTCGTGAAAAAAAAATTCCTAAATTTTACACTTAGGAAAAAATAAATTATATTTAATTACCAATTGCTTAATGGTGGCAGGCAATCATCTGACCCATAGGTGGCAGCCATCTCAAGCCAGAGGACGAGAGGACTCTATCCGCCACGCATATAAAGGATTTATAGTGAAAAACTTTGTTTTTACGGGTTAATTTTTTTGTTGTTGAGCCGGTCAGTTTCTGATCCTGTGTGGTTTTCCGTCTCTCAGCTGGCTTCGTCGCTTCGCTCACGCTGACCACAAGCACCCCGAAGGTGAAGGCGCAAGAAGGCAGCGGTAAAACTCTCTCCGAGCACTCACTCACTCCACCACACAGCACTCAGCCTGGTCCACCACTCATTGTCCACCACCCACCACTCACCCCGCTCCACCACTCCACTCACTCTCCATCTCTCACCACTCACCCCGCTCAACCACCCAGCACTCACCCTGGTCCACCACTCACTCTCCACCACACATCACTCACCCCGCTCCACCATTCATTGTCCACCACCCACCACTCACCCCGCCCCACCACTCACTCTCCATCTCTCACCACTCACCCCGCTCCACCACTCACCACTCACATCCACACGCAGCAGCGATGGTGATGATGTGGTGATGTTAAAGTGATGTTGACTATGATTTTGTGGTGGGAGCAGAGCAGTGGTGATTAATGTGATGGAATGATGTTGCTGATGATGATGATGCTGACACGACTGATGATGATGACGATGTTGATGATGACGATGATGACGATGTTGATGATGACGATGTTGCTGATGATGATACTATTGATGCTGATGATTGGTTCTGTCATTGATCCTGACAACGATCTGATAAAGAGAACACCGCTGTTGACATTGATGCTGCTACTGATGATGATTCTGCTGCTGCTGCTGATGACGACAATGATTATGAGGTTGATTCTGCTGGTTATGATGATGATGGCGCTGATGGTGATGATGGCGCTTGTTGACGCTGATGATGATGGAGCTGGTGATGGCGCTGATGATGATGCTGATAATGCTGCTGATCATGGTGATAATGATGATGATGGTGATGATGATGATGCTGATGATGATGCGGCTGATGATTATGCTGCTGCTGATGATGATGATGGTGATTCTGATGATGATGCAGATAATGCTGCTGATCATGGTGATAATGATGATGGTGATTCTGATGATGGTGATGATGACGATGATGCTGATGATGCGGCTGATGATGATGATGATGCTGATAATGCTGCTGATCATGGTGATAATGATGATGGTGATTCTGATGATGGTGATGATGACGATGATGGTGATAACGACGATGATGCTGATGATGATGCGGCTGATGATGATGATGCTGATAATACTGCTGATCATGGTGATAATGATGATGGTGATTCTGCAGATGATGATGGTGATGCTGCTGCTGATGATGCTGATGATGCTGCTGATGATGCTGATCATGATGATGTCCACAGGGGCGGTACTGTCGTGCTCCTACACTGGCAATCCCGAGATCGTCTGGAAGAAAGTGAAGTCAAGCGGCACCGTCTTGGTGTGGAAGAACGGCTTCCTCAGTGAGTGCCGGAGACGATGTCGAACGCGCGAGTGTTTGCGGCCACCCGTCGCCATGCCCTGTCCCAGCTGACCGGGATAGAGGGCGGGGTGGGGATGGTTGGCAGAGGTCGCAATCGGGTACCCGATACCCCTACCCGATGCCCAGCTACCCGTACCTGGCCGGGTATCGGGTACGGGTATCCGTACCCTACCCGGCCGGGTACGGGTAAGGAATCAAAACCCGTTTGCGATCTCTGATGGTCGGTCTAATCCGCGGTGGCGAGATGTTTACCACCTCGCCCCGATGTACAGGAGGTCTCTCGCGTGGGTTCGATCTGTCCAGCCCTGACGATGCCAGCTGTATGTTTGGAACAAGAAAATATTTAGAAATACTTTTTAAAAAAAACACGCTTTAATGAAATGTACCGCACTCGTAATGGCAGAACTCCCCGCAGCTTGCCACAGCGTGAGGTGATTTACAGGCAACGTGAGTTGAGCGTGGACAATTAGAGCCGTCAAAAAGATTGTTTAAAAATATAATTTTATTTTTAATGATAGAAATATAGTATTGTCATCAGTATGACATAGCTATACTAAGTTTACCGAAAGAACCAAAGAGAATGGACGCGTTGACTTTGAAACTGATTGGCCGACACCAGAGAAGGCAGCCTTCTTGAGGACCTAGTCTCACCAGCGGTGTCAGACCAGAGCACAACGCCGAAAGGCGAACAGGACAAGGGCATCTTCTTGGTTCTTTCGGTAAAGTCATCACGTAGAAGGGAAATAATAGAATAATAAAAATAAAACATAATAAAATACAATTCTCACGACGTTTCGGCCACAACGCAAGCAGCCGTCCTCAGGTGAAGAACAGGTCTGTCGGAAAGACGCACTCAAAAGACTCATTCAGACGCTGTCTTCCCGACAGACCTGTTCTTCACCTGAGGACGGCTGCTTGCGTTGTGGCCGAAACGTCGTGAGAATTGTATTTTATTATGTTTTATTTTTATTATTTTATTACTTCCCTTCTACGTGACTCTACCGAAAGAACCAAGAAGATGAATCCCTGCAGTCACGAAAGCTTTACATCGGACAGGACAAGGGCAATGCCACTACCGGGGCATTGAGAGCTCGGGGTGAGCAGCAGCTACAACAATTCTAGGTGTTGTTGCAATCCTTTCTGGCAATAAAACACGAGTTGTGTTAAGATCTTCAAACACCAAATAGAAACATTTTGCAAGCCTACTAATAGGGTTTTTCCCCTTTTTTCTGGCAACAAAACTGACACCTTTTGTAAGGAATCATGCTTACATTAACCACAATAGTTGCAGTCAAATGCAAACAAAAAACAATACTCTGATAATGTATGCGTTGTCTTTGAAACTGATTGGTCCACACCAGAGACAGCTTTCTTTAGAGCCTAGTCTCATTTGGTGTTCGACCAGATGATGCCAAAAGGCGCACAGTTCAAAGACAACGCACTATCAGAGTAATGAGAGTTCGGGGTGAGCAGCTACATCATGGGACCTCCTTTGCCAGTACCAACATATACTAATAGGGGTTTTCCCCTTTTTTCTGGCAACAAAACTGACACCTTTTGCAAGGAATCATGCTTACATTAACCACAATACTTGCAGTCAAATGCAAACAAAAAACAATACTCTGATAATTTATGCATTGTCTTTGGTGTGGACCAATCAGTTTCAGAGACAGCTTTCTTTAGAGCCTAGTCTCATATGGTGTTCGACCAGATGACGCCAAAAGGCGCACAGTTCAAAGACAACGCACTACCAGACTATTAGTATATTTTGGTACTGGCAAAGGAGGTCCCATGATGATTTTGCAAGCCATCAAGTTCACCCCCCCCCCCAACGTGACCCCCCCTCTCCACCCCCTCCCCCATCACCCCCCACCACCTCGCAGATGACCTCAAAGACCGGGCGACCATCACGGGCGCAGACATCAGCATCGGCAAGACGGTGCGCACGGACAACGCGGTCTACCGCTGCGAGGCCACGGAGGGCACCGAGTTCCGGGAGGTCTCCGTGGATCTGGTGATACCAGGTGAGAGGGGTGGGGGGCAGCAGGGAGAGGGGTGGGGGGCAGAGGTCGCTAGCGGGTTTTTATTCCTTATCTGTACCCGTACCCGGCCGCACCAGGGTCGCAAATGGGTACCCGTACCCGGCCGTACCCGTACCCTACCCGTACCCGGCTGGGTACGGGTAGGGTACGGGCATCGGGTACCTGATTGCGACCTCTGGGATGAATATTCTTAGGTTTTTTCGGTAAAGTCACGTAGGTAAAACATTAAAATTAATAAAAGTAAAATAAAATAAAAATCACGACGTTTCGGAGGCAACACAAGCTTCCGTCCTCAGGTGGAACCGTCACAGCCACGACAGCTGTATCAAGTGAATGAGAGATTACAAGAGCTACCACTCCGTATATATAATGAATCCTTGCAGTCACGAAAGCTTCAAATCTAGAACTCTGGGATGAAGCCACGTTGCAGGCGCGGGTGGGTTGATTCTAGGAACTTGAATTGTGAGAAGAGACAAGACGTTGGGAAATGAGTGACAAACGGTGACTCACCAGTGACTCACGGTCTACCCGTACCCGGCCGCACCAGGGTCGCAAATGGGTACCCGTATCTGTACCTGGCCGTGTACGGGTAGTCGGGTATCGGGTAGGGTACGGGTATCGGGTACCCGGTTGCGACCTCTGGCGGGGGGGGTGAGAGAGGTGAAGGGAGGTGGCGGGGAGGGGGTGGGGAGGGGGCGGGGTGGGGGTCAGTGGGAAGAGAAGGGGGGCCGGGGGAAAGATGGGGGAGGGAGGGGCGGGGTGGTATTCCCTTTTGCTCAGCTGGCGGGTTGAGTACAAAGAACTCCACATTTCTCCTCTCTTTGCAAGGTTGCTTGGGTGTGTGTGTAGGTGCTCGCTAACAGCACTTGCCCCAACAGTCCGTTAAGGCTATGCTGGAGATCTTTGTCTCGTGGCGTGCAAGTGTGCGTCGTAGAGGGGTCGCACTTAGGGTCCAGGTCAGAGTTCGGTTAACTTTGGTTAAACACGAGAGTGAAGTTGTTAGTGATTACAAATCCGATCGCTCATCATCACAACTTTAATCTCTCCCCATGTCCCCATCTCCCCGTGTCTCTCTCCCCGTGTCTCTCTCCCCCTGTCTCTCTCCCCGTGTCTCTCTCTCCCCGTGTCTCTCTCTCCCCGTGTCTCTCTCTCCCCGTGTCTCTCTCTCCCCGTGTCTCTCTCCCGTGTCTCTCTCTCCGTGTCTCTCTCCGCGTGTCTCTCTCCCCATCTCCTCCTGTCTCACCCCTGTCTCTCTCCCCCTGTCTCTCTCCCCCTGTCTCTGTCCCCCTGTCTCTCTCTCCCCCTGTCTCTCTCTCCCCCTGTCTCTCTCTCCCCCTGTCTCTCTCTCCCCCTGTCTCTCTCTCCCCCTGTCTCTCTCTCCCCCTGTCTCTCTCTCCCCCTGTCTCTCTCTCTCCCCCTGTCTCTCTCTCTCCCCCTGTCTCTCTCTCCCCCTGTCTCTCTCTCCCCCTGTCTCTCTCTCCCCGTGTCTCTCTCTCCCCCTGTCTCTCTCTCCCCCTGTCTCTCTCCCCCTGTCTCTCTCCCTGTCTCCCCGTGTCTCTCTCCCCGTCTCCCCGTGTCTCTCTCCCCGTCTCCCCGTGTCTCTCTCCCCTGTCTCTCTCCCCCTGTCTCTCTCCCCCTGTCTCTCTCTCCCCCTGTCTCTCTCTCCCCCTGTCTCTCTCTCCCCCTGTCTCTCTCTCCCCCTGTCTCTCTCTCCCCCTGTCTCTCTCTCCCCCTGTCTCTCTCTCCCCCTGTCTCTCTCTCCCCCTGTCTCTCTCCCCGTCTCCCCGTGTCTCTCTCCCCGTCTCCCCGTGTCTCTCTCCCCGTCTCCCCGTGTCTCTCTCTCCGTGTCTCTCTCCCCTGTCTCTCTCCCCCTGTCTCTCTCCCCCTGTCTCTCTCACCCCTGTCTCTCTCCCCCTGTCTCTCTGCAGTGCCGCCCAAGGCGGTGCGTGCGGAGGTGCCGTCCTCGGGCACCCTGGGCGGCACGGTGCGCCTCGTGTGCAGCGAGCCGGACGCCCAGCCCCCGCCCACCTACACCTGGACCCGGGGGGGCAACCTCATCTTCCCCCAGACCCCGAACAACGACCCTCGCTTTGCCAACACCACCTACAACCTCGACCCCACGGGGGCCGTGCTGGTGAGCCCCCGTTGATTGACCCCCTCGATGATTCTGACAAGGTGGTTTTGGAGAGACGGGGAGAGAGGCTCGCGCTGGGAACCGGGGTTCGAACCCAGGCTCTCAGCCGTGCCGGCACCAGTGTCCCCTGGCACTTAGCGTGTCTCTCTCATCATCATCATCATCACGGTGGCTAGGAGATGTTAACTACCTCGCCTGGTATACAGGAGGTCGTGGGTTCGATCTCGACCCTGACGCCTGCTGCTGTATATTTGGAGTTTGCGTGTCTCTCTCTCTCTCATCATCATCATCACAGTGGCTAGGAGATGTTAACTATCTTGCCTGGTAAAGCAGGAGGTCGTGGGTTCAATACCAGCCCTGATGCCTGCTGTATATTTAGAGTTTGCGTCTCTCTCGCTCTCATCATCATCATCACGGTGGCTAGGAGATGTTAACTACCTCGCCTGGTATACAGGAGGTCGTGGGTTCGATCTCGACCCTGACGCCTGCTGCTGTATATTTGGAGTTTGCGTGTCTCTCTCTCATCATCACCACGGTGGCTAGGAGATGTTAACTACCTCGCCTGGTATACAGGAGGTCGTGGGTTCGATCTCGACCCTGACGCCTGCTGCTGTATATTTGGAGTTTGCGTGTCTCTCTCTCATCATCACCACGGTGGCTAGGAGATGTTAACTACCTCGCCTGGTATACAGGAGGTCGTGGGTTCGATCTCGACCCTGACGCCTGCTGCTGTATATTTGGAGTTTGCGTGTCTCTCTCTCTCTCATCATCACCACGGTGGCTAGGAGATGTTAACTACCTCGCCTGGTATATACAGGAGGTCGTGGGTTCGATTCCAACCCTGACGCCTGCTGCTGTATATTTGGAGTTTGCGTGTCTCTCATCATCATCATCATCACGGTGGCTAGGATATGTAATCTACCTCGCCTGGTAAAGCAGGAGGTCGTGGGTTCAATACCAACCCTGACGCCTGCTGCTGTATATTTGGAGTTTGCGTGTCTCTCTCTCTCATCATCATCATGGTGGCTAGGAGATGTTAACTACCTCGCCTGGTGTGCAGGAGGTCGTGGGTTCAATACCAACCCTGACGCCTGCTGCTGTATATTTGGAGTTCGCGGTGTCTCTCTCGCCGTGGTCGCGTGGATTTTTCTCCTGGAGCTCCGGTTTTTCCCTCCGCGTTTAGAATCAACGTCACCACGCGTTTTTCGAGTATATGGCTGCTGTAAATTTCCACGTGAAGACGATACGTGCAAATCTTCGAGCTATCATTTGTGATGACCAGGTCGCTTCTGAAAACGAGCTGCATAGCTTCGTGGGGATTACACCTGGTAATGTAAAAAAAATTCACCCGTAAAAACAAAGTTTTTCACTATAAATCCTTTATATGCGTGGCGGATAGAGTCCTCTCGTCCTCTGGCTTGAGATGGCTGCCACCTATGGGTCAGATGATTGCATGGCACCATTAAGCAATTGGTAATTAAATATAATATTTTAAATCCTAAAAAGTGTAAAATTTTGGAAAAAAAATTTCACGAACATTAATTGTCATGCACAACGAGTCTGTGTGGAAAATGTCAGCTCGATTGGATCACGGGAAGTTGGTTAAAAAACGACCGAAAGATTTGCACGGTCCTAAGCAAGCAAGCAAGCAAGCGAACTTAATATAAAGGATTTAAAAAAATAGTTTATTTTTGTTTAGAACTCGGCACTGGCACGGCCATTGTGAACCCAACATGGCCGCCGTGAACCCGGCACGGCCGCCGTGAACCCGTCGTGAACCTGACATGGCCGTCGTGAACCTGACATCATTGTCTGCCCCCCCCTGCCCCCCACCCCCTTCCCCCTGTTCCCCACCCCCTCCCCCGTCCCTCCGCCATTGCCCAGACGCTGAGCTCCTTGAAACTGTCGGATGCTGGGGACTACTTCTGCACGGCGACCAATGAGGCCGGCACCCTCAAATCCTCAACGGTCCAATTGGCCGTGTGTATGTGATGCACGCACACGCACACACACACACGCACGTAGACACCTACACATACACATGCACAGACACGTACAGAAACACACACACACAGACACACACACGTAGACACAGACACACACGCACACAGACACGTAGACACAGACACACACGCGCAGACACACACACAGACACACACACGCACAGACACACACGCACAGACGCACACACGCACAGACGCACACACACACGTAGACACCTACACACGCACAGACACACACACGTATACACACACACACGTACAGACACCTACATGTACACGTACAGACACACACACACACACGCACAGACACACGCACAGACACACACACACGTAGACACCTACACATACACACGCACAGACAAAAGATCCCCCGTGTAGCCTTAACAGACTGTAGGGGCAAGTGCTGTTAGCGAGCACCTATGAAGGCCGGAACGGTACACGAGGGGGTGGGTGGCCAGCACCACGCTCGACCGCCTTTGTCTCCCCAGTGGCGATGTTTACACACCGCACCAGGTACTCATTTAAGGCTGAGTCGACCTAGGGGAGGCCCAGGACCGATTCAGATAATCGTCACTGGTGTTTGCCGTGAGCGGGAATCGAACCCGGGTCGCCAGGTTCATAGCGCAGCGCGCTAACCGCTACACTACCGCTACACACGTACAGAAACACACACAGACATAGACATACAAAGACATACACACACGTAGACACACATACATAAACACGTACAGATACACACACACAGATACACACACCCACAGTTAAACACACACACACTTAGACCTGTCCATAGCAATACACCGCCATTCGCCACATTGACGCTGCCATCACCACGGCGCCTCTGCCCAGGCCAGGTGCACTTTGAGGCCGTCTACACACACAAACGCGCACACACACACACACATGTGTACACACACACACGTGTACACCCACACACACACACGTGTACACCCACACACACACACACGTGTACACCCACACACACACACACACACGTGTACACCCACACACACACACACGTGTACGCACACACACACGTCTACACACACACACGTGTACACACACACGTGTACGCACACACACACGTGTACACACACACACACGTGTACACACACACACACGTGTACGCACACACACACACGTGTACACACACACACACGTGTACGCATGCACGCACAGGTTTCCGGCGCGAACTCTCCTGACGTCACTGCACTCGCCTGCCCCCCCCACAGACCAAACGAACCATGGAGCCATAGCGGCCGCGGTCATCATCCCGCTGCTCATCCTCTGCCTCATTGCCATCGCCCTCTTCTTCGCCTACCGCAAGGGTCACCTGCCCGGTGAGAGGACGCCCCCTGGCAACGTGACACGCCCCCTGGCAACGTGACACGCCCCCTGGCAACGTGACACGCCCCCTGGCAACGTGACACGCCCCCTGGCAACGTGACACGCCCCCTGGCAACGTGACACGCCCCCTGGCAACGTGACACGCCCCCTGGCAACGTGACACGCCCCCTGGCAACGTGACACGCCCCCTGGCAACACATCGCGCCCCTTGGTAACGGATCACGCCCCTTGGTAACGGGTCATGCCCCCTGGCAACGGGTCGCGTCCCTTGGTAACAGATCACGCCCCTTGGTAACACATCGCGCCCCTTGGTAACGGGTCATGCTCCCTGGTAACAGATCACGCCCCTTGGTAACACATCGCGCCCCTTGGTAACGGGTCACGCCCCTTAGTAACGGGACATACAGAGACCCGAGTTCCTGTGTAGATGTGTAAACATCGCTACTCGTCGCTCGCAGCACTTGCCCGCAAAGATCTGTTGAAGGCTACACGGAGGGTGGGGGATGTTTGTGTGTGAGCGGTGGTGCAGTGGTTAGCGCTACGCTGCGCTGCGAACCCGGCGACCAGAGTTCGATTCCCGCTCACGGCCAACACCACCGGTGACGATTATCTGAACCGGTCCTGGGCCTCCCCTAGGTCGACTCGGCCTCAAAAGAGTAACTGGTGTAGCGGTGTGTAGTAAACATCGCCACTGGGGAGACAAAGGCGGCCGGGCGTGGTGCTGGCCACCCACCCCCTCGTGTGCCGTGCCGGCCTTCATAGGTGCTCGCTAACAGCACTTTCCCCTACAGTCTGTTAACGCTACACGGGGGATCTGTGTCTTTGTGGGCTCGATGCTAAACCGTTGGTTTTGTCCCGTCTCTCCCCCCCTACCCCCCTGCTTCACAATGGTACAGTCGGCAAGAACAGGTACGTACTGCGCGCTCGTTTTCTCCCGCGCTCATTTTTCCACGTGTAACGATCTGACAGAATGTGTGTCGTCAAGAACGGAGAGCCCTCCACCACCCGACCAAAACGTGGCCGCATACAAGAGCATGTGAACGACTCACCCGTTATTATTAAGACGCTAACCCTGCCACCCCCCCAACCCCCCCACCCCCCCCCCACCCCCCCCACCCCCCCACCCCCCAACCCCCCCACCCCCCCAACCCCCCCACCCACCTCCCCGCAGACTGGGCCTTGATAAAACCGGGTCCACGGCGGAGCAATCGGTCGGGCGACTCGGTTGCGTGCAACTCTGGACATGCAATCGGTCTCCGCAACCGTTAATCGAACCTGAACAAGCTTTTAGTCCTTCCCCATTCATCAACACGGTGGCTAGGAGATGTTCACTACCTCGCCTGGTATACAGAAGGTCGTGGATTCAATCCAGACCATGACACCTGCTGTATATTTGGAGTTTGCGTGTCTCTCTCTCTCATCATCAACACGGTGGCTAGGAGATGTTCACTACCTCGCCTGGTATATAAGAGGTCGTGGGTTCGATCCCGATCCTGACGCCTGCTGCTGTATATTTGGAGTCTGCAGTGTCTCATCATCATCACGGTGGCTAGGAGATGTTAACTACCTCGCCTGGTCTACAGGAGGTCGTGGGTTCAATCCCGACCCTGACGCCTGCTTTGTATTGGGAGTTTGCGGTGTGTGTCTCTCTCTCTCCGTGGTCGCGTGGATTTTTGTCCGGGGCCCTCCAGTTTTTCCCTCCCCATTTAGAATCAACGTCACACGTTTGGAGTATATGGCTGCTGCTGCTTTAAATGTCCACGTGATGATGATGATGATAAGCCCACTTTGTTGGGCTATCATTTGGCCCCAGGTCGCCTTACTTGGTAAAATAAAAAATAGTTTAATACTTTAATTGTTTTTTTAGCCTTCTATCTGGCAATGAAACTGACACCTTATTTACAAGGAGTCATGTTTGCATAGACCACAATACCTGCAGTCATAATGCAAAGAAAAAAACATAACTCTGTATGCACTGTCCTTGAAGTTGATTGGTCCACACCCAAGACAGCTTTCCTTAGAGCCTAGTCTCACATGGGTTGGACCAGATGACGCCAAAAGGCGCACAACTCAAAGACAATGCACCATCAGAGTATGAGAGCTCGGGGTAAGCATTTACACCATTGGAACCTCATTTGCCAGTAAAAAATCTGATAATTAATTTTTTACCCTTCTATCTGGCAACAAAACGGACACCTTTTTTACAGATAGAAGGGTAAAAAACCAATTATATTTTTTTACTGGCAAATTAAGTTCCAATGGTTTAATACTTTAGTTTGATTGGCCCTACACCAGAGCTGCAGCCTCCATTGTGGCTTCGTAGTTTGAGACCCCGGGGGGGGGGGGGGGGGGGGGGCACTGCCAGAGCACCGCCAACCCGGCTGCCGCGGATGAGTGGCACGGCCCGGGATCGTGTGCTGACGACGCGTCTCTCCCTCTGTCTGCGACGCTGCAGGAAGCAGACGACCGTGCAGAAACCGCCAGCGGCCATGGAGTACCTGTCTGTGGCGGACGAGGTGAGAGATTGCGTGGCTGTGTCTGTGGACGTGTGTCTGTGGGCGACTGTGTGTGTGTGTTTCTGCGTGTGTATGTGTAGCGGTTAGCGCTACGCTGCGCTATGAACCTGGCGACCCAGGTTCGAATCCCGCTCACGGCCAACACCCAGTGACGATTATCTGAACCGGTCCTGGGCCTCCCCTAGGGTCGACTCGCCCTCAAATGAGTACCTGGTGCGGTGTGTAAACATCGCCACTGGGGAGACAAAGGCGGTCGGGCGTGGTGCTGGCCACCCACCCCCTCGTGTACCGTTCCGGCCTTGACAGGTGCTCGCTAACAGCACTTGCCCCTACAGTCTGTTAAGGCTATACGGGGGATCTTTGTGTCTGTGTCTACGCGTGTCAGTGTGGCATCGGCCATTCGTCTCAGTCAACCGACCCGTGGCGCCTGCTGGGTCTGCCCCGTGACCTCCTGCCAGCTGGCGTTCGACACTTCACGTGGCCTTAACTTGTACATAGCCTGGCACAAGCGCCGTGGTGACGTCACCCCCGCTTTGTGGCGAATGGCGGTTGTTGTTGTTGTGTCTGTGTGGCTGTGTGTCTGCGTCTGTGTGTCTGTGTCCATAATAACAAAGGTTTTATTTGGGTTGGAGCGCGTAAATAAATACTTGTCGTTAACCCACCGACACAGCCAATTAGTCAGGTTTGTCACTTAAACAAAAACGTGCCAGTTAATGACGACTTCAGCGCACACCCGTGTGTTGGAGAGTGTAAACCAGAGGTCGCAAACGGGTTTTGATTCCTTACCCGTACCCGTACCCGGCCGCACCAGGGTACCCGTACCCGGCCGTACCCGTACCCTACCCGTACCCGGCCAGGTACCGGGTAGGGTACGGGTATCGGGTACCTGATTGCGACCTCTGGGATGAAGCCATGTTGCAGGCGCGGGTGGGTTGATTCTAGGAACTTGAATTGTGAGAAGAGACAAGACGTTGGGAGATGAGTGACAAACGGTTACTCACTGGTGCGGCCTACGCGTACCCGTACCCGGCCGCACCAGGGTCGCAAACGGGTACCCGTACCCGTACCCGTACCCGGCCGGGTACGGGTAGCCGGGTATCGGGTAGGGTATGGGTATCAGGTACCCGGTTGCGACCTCTGGTGTAAACCCACAGCATTTACAATTTGAATGTTGGTCGCGAAATCGTACGCGGCTAAAACGCAGCAGGTTGGCGCAGTCGGGGGGGGGGGGGCACAGGTGGTGCATCTGCCAGTCATCTCAGTCGGTCAACCCATGGCACCACCCGGGTCTGTCCCGTGACCTCTTGCCAGCAGGCGACGTTCGACACTTAACGTAACTTTAAAGTGCACACAGCCTGGCACAAGCGCCGTGGAGATGTCACCGTGAATTAGTGGCGATTGGCGGCTTTTGCTGTGCCTGTTTTGTTTGTGATGATCGTGATCATGATGAAGCTGATGAAGATGCGAATGACATTGATGATAAATGTTTATACCGTTTGTAACAAGTATTGTGATGACGGTGATAACGATTATGATAAGGATAGTAACGGCGATGATAACATTCATGACGATACTGATGAGTAGAACGATGATGATGACAATAATATTCTCTGGTTCTTTCGGTAAAGTCACGTAGATAGAAAAAAATAATGAAAGAAAACACGACGTTTGGACGCTTGTTTTGCGACCGAAACGTCGCGTTTTTTTTCTTCCTACGTGACTTTACCGAAAGAACCAGGAGAGTGTGGATTCGTGCAGTCACGAAAGCTTCAAATCAAGATTGACAATATAACGATAATGATTATGATGATAATGGTCATGTTCTTAACGATAATAATGGCAACAACGATGACAATAACGATGATGACGACAATAATGGTCATGTTCTTAACGATAATATTGGCAACAATGATGACAATAATGATGATGATGATGATGATGACGATAATGGTCATGTTCTTAACGATAATATTGGCAACAACGGTGACAATAACGATGATGATGATGATGACGATAATGGTCATGTTCTTAACGATAATATTGGCAACAACGGTGACAATAACGATGATGATGATGGGCACGATATCGTTCATGACGATAACGACGTTTATCATTTTCTCCCCGCAGGGCGACTTCCGACACAAGCCATCGTTCGACCTTTAACTTCCACCACCCGACCTCCCGACCTCCCGAACGCCCCCTCACCTCTCACTCCACGGCCAGCGAGGGAAATCCGTCTACAATCCGCTAATGCCCCAAACTCCTCGCTACCGTAAAGCCAAACAAAAATACGTAACGTAAAGTAACTCTATATCACGCTGGGGCCGAAAAGGGCATGGAATCCGTTTTGTAAGCGCGTACGTGAGCCTCCTTGATTGTTTTCTTTCTCCTTTTTTGTATTTTTATCGCCCGGCATGTTTCATTTTTAGGACTTGACGATGATGATAAGTTTATTATTTAACCGCTTCACCTCCCCCCCTCCCCCGCCCCGCCGCCGAGCTATATTGAGATGCGTTGCCCGCTTGCATTTCCCCTTGTACCATTTGAACACGTAGTAAGTAGCTGGCTTGCGCGACCGATATCATCCATAACGGAGGGGGGGGGGGGGTGAGCGCGTGGGGGGTGTGAGCGTCTTCCTTTCCGGCGCCCTTAGCAGATGAACCTCATTCACCGTAGCTGAGGGGGGGCTGGCTTGTGCTTCCACGCCGAGTTGAGTTTCTGGCTGATAGCCGCCTCATCCCCTCACCTCGTCCCTGAGGGAGGAAGGGAGAGAGAGAGAGAGAGGAGGGAGGGAGGGCCCTGCCGTCTTGCCGCCGTGCGCACGAAGCCCATCTCTTGTTCGCGCGACCTCTCCGGCAGGCTCCGAGTTTTGTGGCCGTTGAGGCAGTTCAGGATCGCGACGGAGATTGACCGCGAAGGAGATGTGGTTTTTTTTTTATTGCCTCGAGGAAAAGCGAATCTCGGCAGTCGGTTTCATCGGGGGAGGTCACGACGTCTGGACCGGCAAGCAACCCTGTGTACGTGGCCAAAGCGTGGTGGTGGTGGTGGTTGTTGTTGTCGATGTCGATAAGCCCACAGCGGTGGCATCACCTTCAGCCGTCTTCTAAGGCCGCAGCAGGAGGAGAGATTCCCCACAATTCTGGCCGAATCGCGTGACGATGCTGGATGTCGTCGTCATCGTCGTTACTCACGAAACGTCACCAGCCGCTCTCTTAATTGTGTAAAGTTGTCTATCCACGGGGGGGGTGGCGGGGTGGGCTTTGCCCTGGGCCCCCCCCCCTTCCGACTGTGTAGGGCCCCCCCCCCCCCGCCCGCCTGCAGGAGTCGATAGAAAGTCGCCGCTGTTGATGACGACGATGATTGCGTTCATGACGACGATGTCTGCGTTCTCTGGCGACGGATTCATCTTTCTCTCTCTTCCCGTCTTTTTTTTTTTTGAGACTGGAGAGTTTATTGTTTTGGTGAGGGGGGTGGGAGGGGTGAGGTGGTGGTGAGGGGGGTCTCAGTCCAAGCTCTCATGGAACGATTAAATATTGGGGGGGTGGGGGGGGGTGGCGGTTAAACCGATGATTTTATATATATTTTTTAAACGTGCTCAATCGCTTCGCTACGTATTTTACGGTTACACAACACGCTAATTTTTGTCTTTGCTAAAACGTAAACTTTTGCTGCACATTTTCCGCTTCACATTTATTTTGACAAATGGATTCGTTATTTTTTATACGCAGATTTACGTGGAGAGCGGTTTTTAGCGCGCCACGCTACGGACCCAGACACACCCGAGTTCGATTCCCGCCCACGGCCAACACCGGTGACGATTATCCGAACCGGTCCTGAGCCTTCCCCTAGGTCGACTCAGCCTCCAATGAGTACCCGGTGCGGTGTGTAAACATCGCCACTGGGGAGACAAAGGCGGCCGGGCGTGGTGCTGGCCACCCACCCCTCGTGTACCGTGCCGGCCTTCATAGGTGCTCGCTAACAGCACTTGCCCCAACAGTCTGTTGAGGCTACACGGGGGATCTTTGTCTATATATGTGTATACACACACACACGGACATACACATTCCTGCGGAGGGAGCTGGTAGGAACGTTGGGTTGCTCGGTCAATGGCCTGCAGGGTCAACGGCGGCGTGGTGTATTCTGCAAATATGCCCGACTGAGGGCGGGCACAAGCCGGCGTGAGTAGGTGAAACGTTGAGTTTGATAAGGGCACCACGGGGTGACCAGCCCCTCCCAACCCAGCCCCTCCACACCCTCCCCACCCAGCCCCACCCAGCCCCACCCAGCCCCTCTCCACCCTCCCCTCTCCACCCAGCCCCACCCCTCCCATTTTTGGATGCAGGACGGACGGACACAATAATCCCCTGTGGGCTGGTGTAACCAGGAGGTTTCCTACCAGTAATATGTGTGACGTGTGTACGTATTTTGGGTGTCAATCTTCCGGTGCGATTCTAATCATCTCTCTTGGCCGGGTGAACGCTTAGCGGCCGCGTGGTGTGTACGATTGTGCTGAGAATTTGAATTTCAGTCAACATGGGGGGGGGGGGGGGCGTGGTGGTTTTGCCCCATCGGTTGCGTGCAACAGATGTGTGCGGACGCTTCTGCAACTCGGATTTGCGTGCAACTCGGGTTGCGTGCAACTCCGGGTTGCGTGCAACTTGGCTTGCGTGCAACTCCGGGTTGCGTGCAACTCGGGTTGCGTGCAACTCCGATGTGCGTGCAACTTGGGTTGCGTGCACATTGATTGCCCGCAACTCGAGTAGCGTAATTGATATACGCGCAACTCGAGTTGCAGGTAATCAATGTGCACGCAACCCCAGTTGCACGCAACTCGTTTGCGATCAACTCGAGGCTTGCGCGCAACTGAGTGGCTTGCGTGTAGAGGTCTGCAGCCGGTCGTGCCACGCAGTTGCTTGCCACTGACACGTGTGCAAGTTTCGGCAATCTTTCCTGATCGGTTGCATGCAACGCAATCGTGCAACACAACCACAGCTGCGTAGTAACATACAACGATTATAACTGCTGCATACACAATCATCGGTAACACACACACAACACACAGACAAAAGTACTCCGGATAGCCTTCAGCGTACTGTTGGGGCAAGTGCTGTTAGCAACTCCCACCAATTCAGGCCGGCACGGCACTACGCGAGGGGTGGCCAGCACCACGCCCGGCCGCCTTTGTCTCCCCAGTGGCTGGGCTTACGCATCGACCCATCTACTCGCTTGAGGCTGAGTCGACCTAGGGGGAGGCCGAGGACCCGGTTCAGATAATCGTCACCGGTGTTTGGCCGTGAGCGGGATTTGGCCCGTTTGGATCCAGTGGTCAGAGCGAGCGAGCGCGCTAACCACTGCGCCACCGCTCCCCGAGTGTGCACAACTTCCTCCTGCACTCGCCCACCCAGCCCACCACCACCACCACAGCTGTAACAGCCACAACTGCACGCGTACCCGTTCCTAACGGGTTGCAGGAGGGGGGGGGGAGGGTTTGACCTCAAGTTTTAAATCGACGTACTAGCCGGTGCAAATTGTGGCTCTCACTGTGTGTGTGTGTTGTGTTTTTCGATTTAAAGCTTTCGTGACTGCAGGGATTCATCTTCTTGGTTCTTTCGGTAAAGTCACGTAGAAGGAAAATAATAAAAATAAAACATAATAAAATAAGACGGCTGCTTGCGTTGTGGCCGAAACGTCGTGAGAATCGTATTTTATTATGTTTTATTTTTATTATTTAATTATTTTCCTTCTACGTGACTTTACCGAAAGAACCAAGAAGATGTGTGTATTGTGTTTGTGGGGAGCGGTGGGGGAGCGGTTAGCGCTGCGCTGTGCCACGAAAGCCGGCGTGCCCGAGTTCGATTCCCGTTCTTTCGGCCACCATCACCGGTGACGATTTTCCGAACCGGTTCCTGGTCCCTTCTCTCTGAGGTCGGCTCTGCCTCAAAATGTGGGGGGAGACAAAGGCGGCCGGGCGTGGTGCTGCTCCCCCCCCCCCACCTGTTCGTGTGCCGTACCGACCTTCATAGGGTGCTCGCTAACAGCGCTTGCCACAACTGTGTGGGCAGGCGAAACGCGTCGGTGGTGGTGGGGGGGGGTGGGGAAATCTTTGTGTTTGATTTTTTTTAAATATTTAAAACTGTAATAAACTCTCATGGGTGACGACGACGACGCTGTTGTGATCGCGCCTTGCTTGTTGACTCGGGGAGAGCGGAGCGAGAAATTTCTGGGCGAGATCGTGAATTCAAATCTCGGTATGATGATGATGATGCTGCTGCTGCTTCTCCGCGGGTGACGGTGTTACACAAACAAGATACAATGTTGACTTGAAGCTTTCGTGACTGCAGGAATTCATAGTCTTTGGGTCTTTCGGTAAAGTCACGTAGATGGTTGAAAATTAATAAAATAAACAAAAACACGCCCCCCCCCTCTTTTTCCACCCGAAGACGATCGCTTGTGTTGTGATCGAAACGTCGTGGTTTTGGTTTATTTTTAAAATTAATTTTGAACCTTTCGATTTAAAGCTTTCGTGACTGCAGGGATTCATCTTCTTGGTTCTTTCGGTAAAGTCACGTAGAAGGGAAGTAATAAAATAATAATAAACATAATAAAATACAATTCTCACGACGTTTCGGCCACAACGCAAGCAGCCGTCCTCAGGTGAAGACCAGGTCTGTCGGGAAGACAGCGTCTGAATGAATATACGCTCCAAGCCCTGGGGTGTTTCATTCAGACGCTGTCTTCCCGACACCTGTTCTTCACCTGAGGACGGCTGCTTGCGTTTTGGCCGAAACGTCGTGAGAATTATTTTTTTATGTTTTATTTTTATTATTTTATTATTTCACTTGTACGTGACTTTACCGAAAGAACCAAGAAGATGAGTCGTGGTTTTGTTTATTTTTTTAAAATTAATTTTGAACCTATCTACGTGACTTTACCGAAAGGACCCAAAGAATATGAGATAAAATCTCTCTATTTTTTACCAGGTAAAAGTCCCACTGAGCTATGTGGATATTTTTCAGACGCGATCTGGCGATCACAAATGATGAGCTCAACCAAGTAGCGCTTCGCGTCGTCGTGTGGACATTTCTCGCAGCTCATTAACTCTTTAAACGCGTGGCGTTGATTCTAAATGTGGAGGTGGGAAAACCGGAGGACCCGGAGAAAAATCCACGCGACCACGGAGAGAGAGACACTCAAACTCCAAATATACAGCAGCAGCAGGCATCAGGGTTGTGATCGAACCCACGGCCTACCGCATACCAGGCGAGGTAGTTAACATCTCCGAGCCACCGTGATGATGAGAGAGACGCAAACTCAATATACAGCAGGCGTTCGGGTCGGGATCAAATCTACGACCACCTGTACGCCAGGCGAGGTAGTTAACATCTCCTAGCCACCATGATGATGAGAGAGAGACGCGAACTCCAAATATACACAGCAGGCGTCAGGGTTGGGATCAAATCTACGACCTATAGACCAGGCGAGGTAGTTAACATCTAGCCACCGTGATGATGATGAGACGCAAACTCCAAATATACAGCAGGCGTTCGGGTCGGGATCAAATTTATGACCTGTATGCCAGGCGAGGTAGTTAACATCTCTCCACCGTGATGATGAGAGAGAGACGCAAACTCCAAATACACAGCAGGCGTCTGATCGAACCACGACCTCCTGTACACCAGACGAGGTAGTTAATATCTCCAAGCCACCGTGATGATGATGAGAGAGACACGCAAACTCCAAATATACAGCAGCAGGCGTTAGGGTCGGGATCAAATCTACGACCTCCTGTAGACCAGGCGAGGTAGTTAACATCATCTAGCCACCGTGGCGACCCAACCAAGCACAACCACCAATTCTACTCGTTCGTGTCAACAACAACCACCGTGGGTGGTGGTGGCCACCCACCCCCTCGTGTGTCCGTGCCGGCCTTCATAGGTGCTGCTACTCGCTAACAGCACTTGCCCCAACGGCCTGTGAAGGCTACACGGGGGATCTTTGTCTGGTCTTTTGGTGGGAGTGGTGGTGCAGCGGTTCGCGCGCAGCGCTACGAATCGGGTCCACACCGGAGTTCGATTCCCGCTCACGGCCAACACCGGTGACGATTATCTCAACGGCTTCTGGGCCTCCCCTAGGTCGACTCGGCCTCAAATAAATACCTGGTGTAGCGGTGTGTAAACATCTGCACTGGGGAGACAAAGGCGGCCGGGCGTGGTGCTGGCCACCCACCCCCTCGTGTGCCGTGCCGGCCTTCGTAGCTGCTGCTGCTGCTCCAACAACGAGTCGTGAGTGGGAATCGAACTGGGGTCTGCCGGGTTCGCGGCGCTGTACGGCGCGCTAACCGTTGCGCCACCGCTCCACGAACACCACCACGCGTGGCCAGCAGAGGGCGCTGATGAGCCGTGGTGGCCCAAAAATCTAAATACACAAACAAAAATAAGTAATATTCTTAGGTTTTTTCGGTAAAGT